CGTATCGTATCGTATCATGACCTTTATTTTATATACAGTTTTGTTCGTAGAATACAAAACATTGTTAGTGAACTAACAACAAATAGTTAATACAGATAATACTTGGTACGATGTTTACGGATACACACACCCACAAAACACACACAGACACACACACAGGTACACACATACAGACACACACACAGGCACACACACACACAGACACACACAGACACACACAAAAACAAATGGTGAAGAATTTACCAGACAGCAAAACTGTTGGTTAATTGCTTTGTCGTCGTCTGAAGAATTTTGTTGAAAATTGCAAGAGTTGGATGTAAAATTAGTAACATGACATAAAAATTATTAAAAGTAATTAATGTGTATGTCTTTTTGAAAAAAAATTTTGTATCATAATTTTTTGTTTGATTATTAAAGAATTATTTTTTTTGAAAAGCGTATGACAGAATGAAATATTCATAGCAGGACTATGCACATTTATTTGGTGAGTATGAATGGATGAATACTGGTGTGTACGCATTGGAATAGGACATTTTCAGAATAAAACATGTAGAAAAATATTTTTTGAAACTAAGAAAGCAATTTCTTTGAAATTTAGAGTATTCACAAAAAGTGAGCGACGGACATTTTTAAGGAAAGAATTATTCTCTTTCCATTTCCATTCTCATTTCGTTCATATTTCTTTATTGATTGTTTCTTAAAAAACAACATCTTTGTCATCATCATCATCATCATCATCGTCATCATCACTCCCATTGTCATCATCATCATCGTCATCATCACCACCACCACCATCATCGTCATCGTCGTCGTCATCAACTTCATCATGGACATTGTAGTCTTGTCATCGTCAGAAATAATGACGTCAGCTTTATTCACCATCAATTATTCATTTACTCATACGTTCATTCATTCAACAAAGTGATGCTCATTTGTTTGACAATTCTATTATTTGTTTGATGGTTCGCTTGTTCGTTCGTTCGTTTGTTCGTTCGTTCATTCATTAATTCAATCATTCGTTTTCTCATTTATTCGTTTTTTCATTCAATCATTCACATGGCAACTCATTATTCTTCCAACATTCATGCAATGGATCATTCATTAATCATTCATCTGTTTCGCATTCTCGTAAGCGGTCTTGAATTTGAAATTGAGAGAGAGAGAGATCTGCCGAATTGTGAAGGAGGATAGTACAGCAGCAAACCATGAAGAAGGTAGAAATGTTCGACACAGCGTACCACAGCTCACACGTTTGGTGGTGCAGAGCTAACTGATATCAAGCTAAAACAAATTCAACAAAGTCCAAAAACGTAAAGATTGCTTCCTAGTGCTCGAACACTCTTTAACTTAGTATCATTTTTTTTATGTGTTTGTAATTAAATCAGTATGTTGAAGTATGTTGAAGTATGTTGAAGTACGCAGAGTTTTATATAATTTTCGCTTTTTTCCAAGATACATTGTAGTGTTCTGATAAGAACGTTTCAAATCTATGGAGTAAAATAATTATAAGTTATCAATGTGATAATATCACTTGCGTTGCATCCGAATTGACCAATACAATATCTATAATCATAATTTTCAAATTGTTCAAATGTGTTGCTAGATTGGTCTGACCAAATGCAAAATAATTTTAACAGAGACTTGAAAATGCAAAGCTACAATTAACTTTGCACACTTTCTCAGCATTTAAAATAAATTTATTTTTAGTAAAACTAATAAAAAAAGCTATAATAAATCTATAACACAAAACAGTAAACACCTTCTAAGCAAGCGCGTTATTTGTTAGCACGTCATTCTATTACCAGAGGCTACGTTCAAATTGGCAGGAAACCAACTCAAAAGTGATGTGTGTGTGCATGCGTTTGTGTCGGTGTCTGTCTATGTCCTTTTCCCTTTTCTCATTTATTCATGAATACCTCTCTCTATATATCTGTATGACCAACCATGAGGGCTCATCAGTCTGGGCGGGACTGTAGTGTAGTTTAACCGTCCCTATAGCATAACTGATGGTACTATGGTTTGAAATCAGAGTTTCTCCATCTCCTAGATAGATTTCTTACAAAGATAACGTACATCCTAACTCCAGAACCTCTGGAACACCAGTTTTAAAACGCTGGTTACTGGCCTTTCGCCCTCTCCTGCTAGCATTACCCACCCCCTCCACATGGAGGCCAGGAGTAGGACTTGGATGATTCGCAACGTCAGATTGCAAGCCATATGGAAGAATTTTATAGATGCTGGGAGTTCATCCCCAACATCACTTCCTTTTTAGAAGACACACACATACACACAAGCACGCACACACATACACACACACACAACGTTTGAATTTTACCGACTTGTTTTTAGACAATTATTTGAGTCAATCGGAAATCCATCAATTGTGAATTATATTTTTTCCATTTTAGCATTTATTTGAAGCAGTAAGCATCAGTATGAACTGATATGATATAAAATTGTGTTAATTTTTTGTAAAATTACACATTTAAAAGTAGAGAATTAATATAATAAAAATGTCTTTGTGTAGAATATTGTTGTGAGTGTAGCGGATTGAGTGTACATAGCTACGTAGTGAGAATAGTAACATAGCAATTATAACTAAGCACAGATTTTGCCATGCTAAGAAATGTAAAATAAGCTGACGTGCCGTGTCAAAATTCTTTTGACTACAATTGCGTTTGCTTGATCCGATTCAATTCATCTGTAAGGTTGATGACCGGGCATTTCTTATTAGTCCCGCGCAAATAATGCTCGTCATATTGAATTCGTGTGACTTTGTGTCAATGTCCTCATCTATGTTTTACATCAATTCACGTGCAATTCTAGAAATTGATAAAAAAAACTGAGTCAACTCTCCTTTAATTTTTCATGTTTTTTCCCTGTTATTTTTGCGATTTGTCATTAGTAATTTTTGTAATTTTCTCTATTTTTTTGCATCTTTTGTATCTTTTTTTATATTTGTATCTTTTTTGTTATTATTGTATCTTCTATTGTTGTATTTTTTTATTTTTTTGATCAGTGATATAATTAAATTGTAAGGTGATATTTGTTTGAGTAAAATGGTTGGCCATCCATTCCAATTTTTTTTACACATTTTCCTGATTAACACTCAACTGCATTAGTTTGGGAAGTAAACAATTGCTACGCGGTATATATATATGCCGAAAACATTGGTGAAATTTCTTCATTATGAAGTATAAGGAAAATTTGGTTTAATAGTTTGATGGGTGAATTATTAAATCTTCTTTTTTGATAGTGAATAAAATAGTTACATTGATTCTTTTCAGAAGTAGCTAACATGCAAAAATATGACTTCGCATAAAATATCAGTTTAAAGTTATTAGATATTATTTTTTATTTGCTAAAACAGTAAGTGATATGAAACGTTTTTGTGCTAAACTTTGTTATTTTATTTAAATTTAAAAAAATGACATTTTGAAATTTGTTTTTAATTAATATTACTGTAAAACAGTTAAAATGTGTTTTGTTTGCTAAAGTCAATTTGTATAAAATGTACATAGACATTTCAAATTTTAAATAAGTTTTGTCGTCAAGAACATGTTTCAAGTTAAATGTCAAATATCAACATGATGTACATTGAAATTCAGATTCATAATAATGTGATAAATAGTAATTTGTCAGTTTACTTAAATTAGTTTATTACCTGTTTAAAAACTTTTATCCATGTTGTTTTCGCAATCACCTTTTAATCTCTGGCATAATGTAGATGAATGTTTCAAGCGTCTAGCATACGGCATGCGCCTCTGTTTTTTTCAACGTGGTTTTTCCATATTTTATTTGGTTTTGTTTTCTATTTAAACTTTTCTTGAAATTAGGGAAGCAATTTTGCGGGTTCTTGGAAAAAATATTTCGTTTTCAAATGTTTATTAATTAATCACTTTTTTAAAGAAATGTTTCTAATATAGAAGTTTTTGTAATTAATGTTGATAAATTTTAAACCTTTTTCTATACTCACTTCATCATTTAAAACAAAAAATTTCCATTACAGTGATCGGAGTTTGCCATCTTTATCGTCATTAAATCATCACTATTTTCCTCATCGTCACCATCATTCCCAACATCATCATCGTCGTCATCATAGTTATTTAAAGAGATTATAAAGTTTATAAAGTAAGGCAAGGAGAAACAAATCCAACTTAGTGTCAGCCAGCGTGCAATTAGCGAACTTGGTGTGGTGCATATATTGGTATAATTCGTGAAATTGTAATAAAACGCTAGGATTACAATAGCAAATGTTTGTACCAGTACAGGGGTGGGCAAACTTTAGGCTGTGAGGGCCGCATTGAGAACTATCTTACCTTTGAAGGGCCGCATATGTACGTAAATAGCAAATTTTTTCGACCTGGGGGAAAATATTTTTAAGATTTAAGGCTTTTTTTTTGGTGGTCATAATGTCTGGTTGACTACCTTTTTTTAGGCGAAAAAGGCCTTGCGGGCCGCATAAAATTACATCACGGGCCGTAGTTTGCCCATCCCTGTACTACTATAATTATTTATTATACATTGTTGTTTGTAAGCAGAGGACATTCATTTTGATGGATGGTGACACATGCAATCCTTCTGGCCAACGTTATTGAAGTTCAAGAATAAATATATTTAAATTTTCTATCTTTCTATTTTAACGTTACGTAGCATTTTGCAGCTTAAAACTCTAAAATACATCTCTCAACATTACATTACGTTACATTAGATTACATTACATAACATTAAATTACATTACACAACATTACATTGAATAACGTTGATTTACATTAAGTTACTTTACATAACATTTATATCATGACATTAAATTGCATTAAACAACGTTGCATTAGATTATATTCAGATGAAAAAACATTACCAAAACTAAAGAATAAGACATCGTTTGATTCAACAACATGCATTATACGACAGTGACATTAACACAGTACACTACATTGAAACAACAACAAAAGCAAAACAAGACACAACAAACAATAAAACAACAACAATAACAAAATATGACGTCATTAAAACTTCAGACAGGTTTAAGTCACGCGTGTGCAAACGGTTTCATGCCTATTTTAGAGTTGCTGATGAAGTTGGAAGATGTCGACGTCAACCTACCGGATAATGAAGGCAACACTCCACTCATATATGCCGCTCAAGCAGGTACTACTATGTTCCGACTGTCAGTTTGCCTTTCTGTCTGTTTGCCTGTCTGTCTGTTTGCCTGTCTGTCTGTTTGCCTGTCTGTCTGTTTGCCTGTCTGTCTGTTTGCCTGTCTGTTTGCCTTTCTGTCCGTTTGCCTGTTTGTCTGTTTGCCTGTCTGTCTGTTTGCCTGTGTGTTACTGTTGTTTGATTAGGAAAGGTGTCGTCACGTATTGTTGAAATGTTTAGAACCGAGGGCTATGGTCATAATGCCTGTTATAATGTGGAAATGTAGCTATATGATGATAGAGTCGAGTGATGTTTAAGCTGGATGGTTGTAGCGATATGTTGATACCATTAAACAATGAGCTAGATGACGTGGTTATATAAAAATGCCGAGGTAATAATATAGAGGTTGGCAAGATGGCTCCCGGTTCTGCTGTTGTATTGACCAAGCTTGAACGCAAAGTGATCCCTCCTATCACATGCCGTGTGTTGGATGCGTCGATGATGTACACGTGTTGTTGCTATTTTTCAGAATTTCATTGATTTTTGATCTTATTCAACCATTCAACCACACACACACACCACACACACACGCACACACACACACCACACCCACGCGCGCGCACACACATACACACGCACATTTACACACAAACACTCACGCACTGTTGATGGTTGCTTGAAATTTAAAGGATCACGTGATCGATACGGAAGCATCCAGCAAACAACTTAAACAAATAACGAAACGTTGAAAAATGTTTGTTCGACTGTCCGCCTCCTGCCCATCGACCAAAAATCTGTTTCACAATTTGCTGAACACTTTTAATGGACGTCTCAAACGAATTGTGCTCGCCGGCATAAAATTTTTATAAAATTTTCATCTATAAAAACCGTAAAAAATTTTTAGGAAATTTTTTTGGTAAATTTTAGTTTTTAGCAACAGTTTTATAACAAAGACTTGAATTTTTTATACCCCAACATAAGTGTTCTCCTACAAGCTGGTTATGCAAGGATCTGTGTCCTCATTTGATTGGAGTTAATCAGGCATTTAATGTTTCTCACTACTGACAATAAAGGCAATATAAAACAGCAGGCACAGCAGTTACTTCCTCTACTACAACTACCGCAACTACTACTACAACTACTCGCGTGCGTCGCTTTCAATACGCTTTTAATGACTGGATTCATTTCGTGGAACATTTTTCTGCCGTTTTCAACAAATATTCCTCCAGTGGAGTAAGGCGGTGGACAGATGAAAGAAAGAAAGAAAAAATGAATGAATGAATGAACGAACGAATGAACGAACGAATGAATGTTCAAGTTTTAAACAAATCATTAACTTATTTCAAACATCTTGCTTGTTTGATGCCTAAAAGTTTAACAACGGCAACAACAATTTGTAATTAACTCAATTTAAATTAACTTTATTTTTATTAATTATCATCGTTAGCATATTTGCCTTACAATGGGGCATATGCTCTGTGATTCCTAATTTTTAGACTTTTTTTATTCCAAGTTTAATTTTTATTTTTTTTTAATGAAATTTACATTTATTTATAGCATGGGCGTAAACATCAGTTTGAAAAACTGAATTCCACAAATGTTTGTTAACGACGGGTGAGAAGTCAGACTAAGGCTTCTGGCGTCCTACACTTCAAATATCACATTACGTTCGGTTTTGGTGTTTTACACAAATTTGCATGTAAACTAACTGTTATAAGTTTCTTGGAAGAAATATTGATTTAAAATTTAATAAATTAAAACTTAAATAAATCGTTAGAGCAAAATTCAAATTTCGCTTCAATAATTTTGAATGGGTTGCAGGAAGTGAGAAAGACGCGTGAGTAAGCACAAATGATCACCGCATCATTCCATCCATCAACCCACATGAATCTTTCATACATTCTTTTATCTTTTCAATCGCTCGTTCATCAAATTTTTTATTCATCTTTTCGTTCTTTTTTTTGTTCATCCACCCACCATTTCATTCACTGATCCGTCTATCCATCCATCCATCCATCCATCCGTCCATCCATCCATTCATCCATCCATCCATCCATCCATCCATCCATCCATCCATCCATCCATCCATCCATCCATCCATCCATCCATCCATCCATCCATCCATCCATCCTTCCATCCATCCATCCATCCATCCATCCATCCATCCATCCATCCATCCATCCATCCATCCATCCATCCATCCATCCATCCATCCATCCATCCATCCATCCATCCATCCATTGAACCAGGTCACGAGGAGGTGGTCAGTTACTTGTTGCGTTACTTTCCAAGTTTGCGAGTGGACGAGGCGAACGTCAGCGGGTTCACTGCCCTCATGAAGGCCGCCATCCAGGGCAGAACAAAAACTGCAAAACTTTTGCTCTTTGCCGGTTCGTTGGCAAATCGATGGATTGAATGAATGATTGCAATAAATGGTTAATTGATTGATTACAATATTTGTTTGATTGGTTGAAGAATTGCAATATTTTCCTGTTTGCCGATTGATTGGCTGATTGTCTGCTAAACTCTGCTGATTCATTCGTCATAAAGCATTTCGTGAGTCGTTGTTCTTTAAAAAAGCAACTCCAAAAAAGGTTTTGGTGCAGATAAATATTTAGGAATAATTGTAATGCGGGTTGTCATAACTTGCATGTCTCCAACTGTTTTGAAGGAATGGTATCAAATGAGAGCATTTGTCATGATTGGCGTCAGATTTGTTCAAAAGAGAATATTCTAGATGAGTTGAGCCTGGTATGAAGTTTCAAAATTGCGTTTTGCGCTGGTATCAAGTGATTTTCATTTTTGTGAGTTTCCAGCTTTGAAGAATATTTATGTATGCAATTGGTCAACTTGGTTTGTTTCGGTTAATAATTTTTTCAATTTTACACAGTTAGTTAATAAAATTGTTTTCTTTATAATTTTTGTTTTATGGAAATAAAATAAATAAACCAGTTTAAAGGCAGTTTTTATTTGAAAAAATGTTGAAACCACACCACACAGGTGCCAATCCAAACCGCCGAGACAACGGCAGACGATTGTGCGCCTCTGAGTGGGCTCGTTTCTGTGGAAGATATTCATGCGCAGATTCCATCGAAAAATACATTCGCAGCAAAAAATATTTCATCGCTAAAACATTTTTTCTCTCTAAGGATAAATGGAAGAGTGAGCCGGATCTGGTTGTAGACACAAATAAAAGAAACAACAAAAACAGACGAGGGTCGAATGTAGTAGACGCAGTTGCCGTTTCAAACGCCTGTCAGAACAACAGCAGCGGTAGCACTGAAGGCACTCACAACAAAGGTAGGAGAGACAGTTTTGGATGGCTGCACAGACATCTGAGCATGAAAAAGAAGCCACCTGTCAAAAATCAGAAGAGACAGTCGTTGTCCCTTTACTTGGAGCTGCAAATCGCTGCCATCGCTGGTTCAGTACCGATGTTGATCAGATCGTCATCGAGTTTGAACGAAGAATGCAGTAGCAGTAAAAGTTTCGTTGGTGATGAATGTGGAGATGCAAGTGTTGGAGGTGGCTACGTAGGAAATGGAGAAGATGCGATTGAGAAAACGATGCTGAAGATGTCTCAAGACATTTATCGAGTTTGTTGCCAGCTGAACAGCAGCTCAATGAATAATAATCACCCACCGAGCTTGAACAGCACTGTTCCACACCAGCAGAAATTGCAACTTGCCGAGAAATTGGTTCCAACAATTTGCATTACTGCCGGAGATTTACAGCAAGAACCCCAGACAGAATATCAACAGCAACATCAGCAGCAGCAGCAGCAGCAACAACTACAACAACCAAATGAAATTTCTCTATCAACAACGGAACCAAAAAATATTAATGAAGAAACTGACCAACCATATGAACAAAAATCTGCTGAACATGATGACCAGACTACAAAAAAAATCCTGTGCTACAAAATTAAATAAACTTGCAAATTATTAAAAATAATTTTTTAATTCTCCAATTTTGGATTACAAAAATTTAGCATTTTTTCGCGTTTTTTTTCTAACAATGTCCAATCTGAAAATTATATGAATATTTCTAAACGAAGTTTGAAGTAAGGACAATGAAATTAGAATGTTATACATTATATCATTCCAATATATTACGTTGTAATAACTCTGATTTAACGTTTATTTTGAAAGAGCGCTAAAAAATTTTATTTTCAATTGTCAATAATATCTAAGTAACTGTTTTGTTTACAACGTTTTAATAAATAAAAGAAAGATTTCTAGATGTGGTCATATAAAACTGTAAATACACTACAGATCAAGATTCTTCTTTGTTATAATTTAATACTTACTGAGCGATTAAATTATTTTACTTGTTATATGCCGTGTTTATTTTTCATTCAAATTTTTATTTGAAACAGTAAAACATAGTAAAAATTTATACATTTGTAAAAATAAAAACAATGAGTCAAGATCTTAAAAGTGAAAGCAAGAAATCCATGGATATTTTTGAAGCAAAAGCTGTGAAAGATGTTCCTGATAAGCCAGACATGGAACCGCTTGGAACGAAATTGCCCAACGCCATACAATTTCACACCAAACGTATGATTCGTCTTCAAAAACCTGAGAAACCCGCTAAAATAGACGTAGAATTAGTAGAAGATGAAGAATTAATTGTGCGGCATTACGATGATGAACACCTTATAATAGCGCCAGAAGCAGCCGATATCGTCCCCGTCATTAAAGACAGTGAGGAGGACCAAACCAGATTTTATTCCAAATATAAATATTTATTTGGCGAAGATGCCTCCAAAGACAAAAAGAGAGAGTCGGCCAAACTTGTCGGCAAGTTTCATATCTTATTGCTGGCGGACAGTTTTGAGTTGTGCAACGAAGGAGTGGCGGCTCTGAACAGGTGTTTGGCCGGCCAGTTGAAATCAACGAATGCTGGGACAGTCACCTGCAGCGTCTTCGAACCGTTTGATGAAATCCACAAAGAAAATATTGAAGCAGCTGAAAGAATGGATGTACGTTAAATTTCTTAGTTATTGTCTTGTCATCTTGTCATCACTGATTCGAACTGTTGAAAACAAAAATGTTATAACATACATGTGTACCGTGTAAATCCATCAGTTATGTTTATAAATGTTTAAATTTAATAAAAAACTAATTTTTTTAATTTTTTATAAACGACGCCTTCGAATATGTTGACATTATTAAGATGAACCACGCAGATCAAGCTGATATCTCTTGCGAAAGCCTGTAAGGAATATTCCAAACCAGATGACTATCCGGTGAATTTGTACACGGACGTCGTACGCCACCCTGAGAAGTACATTGAGATCTTCTACAGTCCCGAGCCGACGTACAAATTTGACACGTACACACACATCATCGGGCATGCTCCAATCACCCATGAATACGCGGTTACGTTGAGAAATTCTTTGTTCAGACTATCCAAGCTGGTCATGTTCTTCCACGTGATTCCTGACGATATGAATGCCTTTAAAAGTGGACTGGTTGACTACGAAAGTACTTTGGACATTCCGACGATCGAAAGACTCATCGAGATTGCTCGCATGTGCCACGTCGTCTATTCGGTCTCTAAAAAAGTGTTTGACTACTTCACGATCATTTTTCGATCGAAGGATGTCAAAGATGTCAATCACAGACTTTACATTCCAAGCGCTCCTAAAGAAGTAAGATTGAATTTTAATATACGAATGAAATTTAAAAATATAAAACATTTGGTGAGTTAAATTATTTGTATAATTGTTTTAGGTATTTGACATGACGGGCAACAATCATTTTTATGATAAGATTACATTTTTAACGAACGGATTTCTGTGCAATTCTTCAAAAACCTGTGCTGTTCGCTCTGGCTTAGACATAGCAATCAATTCATTGACTAAGTTGCAACAGGAAAACATAACTATTGCAAACTCGAATGAAAATGTTACGCTCAAACTTCTCATAAGTCATCTCTCGACGGAGGCTTTTGAAGATTCCAAAGGCAAATTGCAAAGATTCGGAAATACGGATTTGTTACAAGTTGACAAAATTTATCATATATTAAGAAAATCTAAAGCTTTTTTAATGTTTTTTTGATTTGTTTGATAGGATCAAGGAAAGGACAGCAGTGATTTAGGAAAATTATTTCATGAGACAAATTTTTTCATTGGTCCGAAGAGATGCGAGTCGTATGGATTCACAGCACTTTACAGCTTTTGCGCTGGAATTCCTGGTCTTGTTCCAGAGGATTCAATCACTGCCTCAATCATTTCTGAATTTGAGGAAGGAAAAGAATTCATCGGTTAAGCAATATTTTTTTAAACAGGAATCATTTATATTGTTGAAAATTTGTTAAAAACTGATAAATGCAATTTAATTTCGTTCCTAAATATCGAGTTTGCTCTTTTTTATAGTTTCATTAGCATCAAAACTTACAATGTTTTTTTTGTCAAAAATTTAACTCAGTATGATACAAATTTTTTTTCTTTTACAAAATGATCACATCAGTTCCAATCAGCAAAAATCCAACAATGTACAAGCAAAACGCCATCGTGTGGAGCAAGCGATTGAGCAACTTCATAAAAAATTATGAGAGTATCAAACTGAAGGCGGATGCTCTAAAGATGAACCTCATGAGAGATGAGAGGACGAGAAACACGCACGATGATTTCATCTCTTTTGTTCTCGGTCGGTACGAATGTTTACTTGTTTTGAGGTTGTTTTTTTTATATGGATACACATTCATCAAATGTTGAACAAGGAATTAATTCTAATAATTCAGGTTAAAAATTATTATTTGAATTTGTTTATTAGAATTTGTTTCATTATAGGAGGAATAAAAATGAAAATACGAGTTGTATCTCTGGTGCCGCTGGATGCAAATGAAAAGGATAAGACAGGCTTGAGGTTGAGGTTTGAGGAGCTACTCGTGGAAACAATGAGGGCATGTTGGAGGTTAAAAAGTCACAACTTGGAAAATTGTTCCAACCACGAATACGTGGGGTCGCAAATAACCAGGGGTGTTGTTCTCCCTCTCGGCAGACTCATCACCGAGGTTTCATACTTCTTCCTTTTAATTATTACTACACTTGCATTAATCAGGTATCAACGATGGACACACACGGCGTACGTATAAACCCTGCACCATATACACTGCATATGATGGCTGGGGATCTTTTTGCATTCGGACTAGGTCACTGCAAAACAGGACTTGACGTCTTTGTCATTACTCCTTACACAACCTCACATAACAGTATGAAACTTTTTTTATTTGCATATATTTTTTCATATCACTTAATTTAAAAATGGGCAATTGTTTGAGTTTATGATTTTTATATTTTAACTGCACTCTTTATTCAAAGCTGATAAAATGTTTACGCACATTTGAAATTAATTTTATACGTTTTGTTAATTGTTGTATATTTCTAAATAATAGAAAGTAACAAAATTGAAAGATTGTTGTTTGAACGGATTGATTTCTTAGGTGTTTGACAAGATAGAAGACTACAACAGACGCGTAGTGGCTATCGACGACACCACCAAATCTCTCGTCATCTTCTGCCCAACGAGAATCGCACTGAGACACTTGTGGGCCAAGTGCAACGTCATCTCCAAACATTTCATGAGTCTCCTGGACGAAAAAACCGAATGTAACTCTCTATTTAACAGTTTTAAGATAAAATCTGTTGAAACTGAACTTATCATCGAAGGTGACTGGGTATTTTTATTCACTTTTCAATGAATTAGGCTATTGTTAACAAGATGTTTATTAATAAATATCTACTCTATCGTTTATTTTTTCAGTTTATGCTTCTTGCGATAATTAATTTTTCAAAGTTTTTCATTAAGTAAAACTAAAATTTCAGGCTCAGAATTTTACCGAGTCAGTAAGTTTTTGGAAACAGTTTACGAAAAAATGTGAACTTGAAATAGTTGCCTCGTTGGAAATTTCATTCACCATTCTTTTAATTGTTTTTATTTTGTTACTTCGAAACAGATTTGTTATATTAATACTTGATTAAAAATGTTTTGAATTGTTGGCAGTTTAGTTAAAATCATTTTACAAAAATTCGTACCGTACGTGCGTGAAGGAACATTATGACATAGAATTTTTAAAAACGTTACAAGGCGACTGATCAGAATTTCATATTTTCTTTTTCGGAGATTGAATTATTTGGGTTGGAGGATGTCTTTTGAAGTGTTGTACTAATGTTGCCGTTCACCATTTTTTCTGCTTTCTAGTTAAGATGAAAACATTCAAAATTAATTTTATCAATTTAACATGATAGAATCAAACTAATACTCAACAGTATTAAGTAACTTTAAAAGTTTGTTTGAAGTGATATCTCTAATGAAATTTCAATGAAAGAGTAATATTGAATGGTATTAGATATTGAACGAAAAAATTTGGCACATGGAACCTCCGTTACCAAAAGCTTGTTGTACTTCAGCTCAACCCAGTTATATGGGGTTCCGTCATTATCCTTACTGCCACACGAATGATTATCTACGTCTGGTAATTTTACGTTCACAAATTATTTTAAATTATTTTGCCAAAAATGTAAATGTACATTCAAGAATTTTATATTTATGTTTAACTATTTGCTTTCTTATTGAAAATAATTTTAAAATTAATCTTAGAAATGAAAAATCTCCAGTCAAAATATCACCGTTGAGAAACAACTGACATTCAGCGCTGTTGACGACAGGAGCGTTCGAGGGGGCTAACGTCTTCATGGTGGCCCTCAAAGGGGCTGCAACGATTCGACTGCATTTTGCTATCGCGGAACAAATTGTCTGAACTTCTGTGGTCATTTTTTTCAATAATTTTAAAAATTTGTCTTCAAGTTTTTTATGATTGATTTGATATGATTTTTTTAATAAAAAAAAATTTTCCAACCTCTGCCGGTGTATTCAAACTGGTTCTTCCCAAGCAGTTTGGTAACGGAAACCACCACCAAGTTAACATCATCTTTCAAACAATCCAGGTTCATCACCTACATCAATGTATTCAAATGAAATTTCAAATCAAAAACACCCACAAATTATTTCACAATTTTTAGATATTGTAAAAAATATAGCGGAAGATTCATATACAAATGATATACAAAATATATATGATATATATAAAATATAAAAATGATAAACAAAATAAAAACCGGTTTGCCATCGGTGGTGAACATTTCTTTGATCATTGTGCAGTTGATGTTTAGAGAGTGCGCAATCAATTTAACGACTTGATTGATGGAGGTGATGAACTTCATGTCGTACGCCGTACAGCCAACAGTTCTCGGCTTCTTTGTGGATGTCAGAATGGAGACAACGATCTTCAAATTGGCGTCCTCTGTCGCTGCTACTGCTGCTGTTGTCTTTGCCTGCAGCTGCAGCTGTTTGCTTGGTTCCTGTTGCTTCTGTTGAGGTTGGTGATTATAGTATTCCTGCAAGAAGGGCGGTGTTTTCTGAGGTTTCGGATTCGTTTGGAAGGGAGTGTCGAAGATTTGATTGCGGTTCAGTGTTGATGGAACCTTAAACTGCAACTGTTAACGAGATTTAAATTGAACTTTCATTTAAAAAAACAAAAAATTGTAGATGTTTGAAAAGTTTAGAAATGTTAAATATGATACATCAGATAAGATAAGAAGCTTACTTACTTTTCATTTTTTAAAAATACATGTGACGACATTACAAAATGGAAAATTCATTGCTACTGTTAAAAATTAATTGGTTTTCTTTGGAATAAGGTCTTCGTAGACCTCTCCCCCAGCGTCTTATACGCCTTACATGTTAACTCGTTCGTCTCATTTCCACTTGCACAGAGATATGAATTCTTACATCTTAGTTTTCATTTGATGTGCTTAATATTACAAGCGACCGCTTATGACATAATTTTTGAACTTTCATTCCAAAACAATTCCGCAGTAAAACTGTCAACATCACTTCATTTAGGCATGAGTCACAGAATCCAGGATCGTCCAACTTTTTCTTGATGACAACTTCGTAATCCAGCCTGGCGAATATGTTTGATGCGCAGCAGACGTATGCCTCGCCATTTTTAATTTGGTTGATGGAGTTCACTCGGCAACCAGATACCGTAAATATATACCTTGAAAATTTCATTTCAATGATTTGTTTCGTTACTAGTTGCTGATTTATGTGTTGATATATTTAACCTCAACAAAAAATTAAACATACTTATTATTAAAAAATCATACAATCATCTAACTTCGTCCCAATCTTCCCATTCGCCCTGGAGTCAGGAAGTTTGCTGATCCGTAGGGTGTTCAAATCGACGAGGAAGTTGTTGAAATTGGGATATTTCTTTTCACTGACGATCATGTAACTACCGGGAAATTCCAAGTTCCCGTTTCTCAGAAGGATGATCTTCTTACATGAATTCCTACTTAGGATGAAACTGTTGCTGCTCATTTGTGGACATTGTTGGTAGCGAGATAGAAACATTTTTTCCGGGCTTAAAAAATTGAATCAACTATTTCAAAAATGTTTTTTCAAATTTTTAATATATATTGAACTAAACGTTTTAAAAAATTTAGCATTTCAATTAGAATCCCACATTAGAAACCTAAAATAAAAGTTCAATTTTTTAAATAATTTTGAGAACAAACTATCATGTTTTGCTCACCTGAAATACAAATCAAAATTTTACAACTTTAAATTTGAATTCATTTGAAATATCACACAACGACCATTATATTCTTTATTATTAAAACTATTTCTATAAAGTAATTTTGAATTGATAACCTTTCAGATTTTATTAGTCTTGTAGAAAAATGCCCCAATGTATACAAGCTGTAAAATAAAGTTTCAAAAAATCAGCGTCACTATTAAGTTATTTATGTATTTTCAGTTGGGATGTTATTCCAACTAAGATGTTATGGATTATTTTTAAAGGCAATTAGTTAGCCAGCGATGGAAATCTTTCCAGGTTGTTTCTCTTTCAATGATGTTATATTTCGATGTCCTATTTTGTTTACTGTTTTGCGGGTAAATATAAATAATTTATGACGTCATTATCTTTTTTTTTATATAAGAATATCAATGAAGTTGACGAGTCTTGAGGTTTTTAACATTTAATTTTTGTTTGTTTGTTGAGTTTTTTTTAAGATTGAAATTTAATTTTGTGTATTAAATGGATTTTTCAACCGGTTGTTAAACATATACGACAGCTTCCAATGAAGAGATGAGTAAAATTTTGTAACATGTATCGAAATTTTAAATATCAAATTTCAACATCTAGTTGATGAAAGTTTATTCCCGACGTCCTAAATATTTTATTTAAATTATTAATTTTTTAATATTCTAACAAATAAATATACGGAACAATATAATTTAAAATAAGCGTTTCTGGAGTAGCAACATATTTAATTAATTATCAGTGATTTTATTTTCAAAAATATATCAATAAACAACGAATAATAATAATAAAAGGGGAATACCTACTTTTTCTATATCACATGATGTCAATCGGTATAAAGTCTAAAAAGCATTCCAATAAATAACAAAGCTATGAGAAATTTTTAAAATAAAAATTTAAAAATGATTGCATGCAAGGCCAGGCTTCATTCAATAGCAGACACCTTCATATTCTTCTTGTTGGATGCTGCTTAAGTCAGGGCAAAATTGGAGTAGTGACTCTGGACAAGTTTTTAAATCCTCTCAGCTGAAGATTTACTGTTAATATTCTGTTTTCGCGTGTTCATTACACACTCAGGTACACACACACACACATTCACACACACACATACACACACACACATACATATACACACAAACAAACACATACTCTCACGGATTAATAATTGTTTCGTAGTTTCATAAACGCGTTACTAGACATAACATACGTACATATACACATGTATTTTATCATAAGAATGTTTTATTTTACAAATATTTGGATGGCTGGTAACTGTTGTTTGATTTCATAATCATTATTATCAAAGTGTTCATGTTAAAATACATCTGAATGTCCTTACACTAATGTAGAAATTTAGGCTTGTTTATATTAGCTTCTACACACACACCCAGAGATGCACAAACAAATGTATTTACACTCACATTCAGAGCTCTTGTAGAAGGCATTCCAATAAATAAATGTCAAGAAGCTTGTGATAAAATATGAATGAAAAAAGGATGGAGCAGTGGAAATGGGATGCTGAAAGGTGGAAATTAAAAACATCATCATTACAAATGGTGTGTTATTATTACCAGAATCATTTATCATCATTTTTCAAAACAAAAGAAAATAAACTCAGTGGCGGCTTTTTGAGGGGCCGGTGATAGTTTTTCCTACCTCTGTAAAATTTTAAAATTTTGCCCCCCACCCGTTAACGTTGTCTAGCTCCGTTCTTAAACTAATTCCATATGTCAATTTCATACCACATAATTATTTTCAACAATTATACGCATACGTATAAATAAGATAAATGAAATAGAAAAAAATTTTTGTGAATAAAATGGATTAAAAAAAAATTATAAGATCAGTTTTAGTTATACTGTTAATCATTAATTCAACAGGAAACTTTTTTGCCAACGTTTGCGTGTCTGCATAACAAAATGTCGGGTGGAGTTGTTGGCAGTAGCATTTATCATTAATTTCCCAACTGGAAGTGCCTAATGGCAGCATTCATTTTTTGACACTGGGCTTCATATTTCATGAAAAGTTGTTTTGAATTTCTTCACAGTTACGTTATATATTGGTTTGATTTGATTGAGTGAGTCGTTCGTTTGATTATTTGTCTGTCTGTTTGTCGGTCTGTTTGTTTGTCTGTTGAAATGTGGTTCGCCATTATCTTTAAATCATATAAACTATTTTTAGAGACGACAGTACTTGAATAAATATAGAAAGGTGTAAACCAAAAATATAACCTTCATAATATAAGTATGGATGATGTTAAACACGCGCCCCATCCAGCATTCCAGCGAGCAAGATCGAATGCAAATAGATCCAACAGCTTTTTTGTGTTTGTGTGTTTGGTGTGTTTGTGTGTTTGGTGTGTTTGTGTGTGTGTGTGTGTTTGTGTGTGTGTGTGTGGGGTTGGTTGGTTCCTCAAAATAAAAAAAAATAATGCAATAATAGAAAATGTCGATAAATAATATAGGAATAACAATACCTTAAATATTAGGATATTAAAGAATATTAAACACATTTAACAAGCAGAGATTAAAAACTTATTCAAGAAATTTTTCCATTTGGAAAATATTTTTTAAAAGAAAAAAAATCAAGCCCTAAATGTTTTATTGCGAGTATCTCAAGTGCAAACTTGATTTAAGATTTTTGAAATGTTATTTTGAGGTTCATGTGGTGAATGACAAAAAAAAGTACACATACGAAATATTTCAACATGACATTATAAGCACAAACTTGTTTCAAGTAATTAGTAACAATCTATTTCTTGATAAACTCCATCTTAAAAAAATTTCCATTTTATAAAATAGGACTTTATTTTATTAAATTTTCCATAAAAGTATTACAAAACAATGAAACCCCTGCAATAGTATTGCATAAACTAATACACACCATTCATCTATGTAGGGGGCCCTTTATTTTATAAGAACATCATTAAATTGCATCAATCACATTTGAGAAATTTTTTTTTAATAAACGCCAAGCAACAACAAGTTGCAACAAAATGCAAAATTTTCCATCAGAGTCTGGCAGGCGTCAATCTGGCCAACCATTAAATGGAAACAAATCTGAGATCAAAACATATACAAATTTTTCATTTTTTTTCAGGCTCATTTGTACGCATACATTGGTACGCATGTCATGATTCCTGTTTACTTATTTATTTGCGATACCTTTTCTTATATATTTAAATAAATTTTTTTTTCTAAAGCCATGCATGTTGCAGAATTTTCAATGTTTGATCATTTTTTTTTATCAAACTCAGTGCTGTAGGTTGTTGTTTGATGTATGAATATAAATGAATGGAAGGATGAATGGAAGGACAGACAGACAAACAGACAGACAAACAGACAGACAAACAGACGGACGGACGGATGAATGATGGCACGAAAAATGATAAATGAATGCTGGCCCGATGGATTGATAATTGTTTAGACCATTAAAAAGATGGACAAACGGATAGAGAAACATCCATAAACGATGCTTCAAACCGTTATTTGATTTTTACATTTTCACAAATAAAAATTTTATAAATAATAGAGAATTTGAAAACGGCAGGATAGTAACTCCATAAATTTTTGATTAAAACCAGTTGATAATACAGAGATATTTTAACGCAAATTATTTTATTAAACTACATGAATGGCTAAAACTTTGTTGGATTGCAATATAATTAAAAAAATAATGATGTAGAAAACTGATAGCGAGCGATGTTCACAAGCAAATTATAAAACGTCAGTTTCATGAAAAGACAAAAATTTTATCTAGTTAATTATCTTTCGACAAAAGATCTTATTAAAAATTACCATGTTCTGACATTGTTTGTAAGGTAGTAGAGTAAAAGATGAAAATTATGAAGAGGCGTAATAATTTCATTGTTAACATTTTTAAACAATTTTTCATCTTTATTTTTTTTAAATTTCTCAGAAAATTGATGCCTTTTTTTTTTTGTGAAAATAACCCTTTTACGTGAAACTGAACAGCTGAGAGACATTCGTTTGAAGATTTTTGCACGTCAATCTTCAGCTGACCTCTTCGTATTCACATAGAGTAGGTTTACCAAAAAAATTGACACAATTTCAAACAAACTTTTTTCAGACATAATTGGTTTAATTAGGAATTAAGCATGCATATAAAGCTTAATTGCCCTTGTTATATTTATAAATACAACCATGTATGGAATGATATGTGTATGTATGGCATCTTATATATGTAAACCACACAAACTAATCCTAAAAATAATTTGTTTGTCACTTTGATTCTAGGGCAAACGAACTTTTAAACAATATAAATTAAAAATCAGTTACTTTACTTTGAAAGCTGAAATAAAGTTAATTTTTAAAATATTGTCAAATTGGTCACTGAATAATGCCTTATACATCAATTCGATAATGCAACATTTTTCTAGTGCTGTATCAACATAGAGATATTTTGAATTATAATTCATTTGCATGATTTGAATAAGCGCAACCAAACACGTGGTAGATTTTTAAATATAAAATTCAACATTATCATCAGTTTTCATTATTTTGAACGTACAATTTTAAACATCACAGTTTGTCATAGAGTCACAAAATATTTAAAGTTTATAAATTGCATTAAACTGTTGAAAAAACATTTGAGTTTAATTGAAAAGTTTTTAAAAATTCTACATTTATTTCTGTTGACTGAAGTGAGAAAGAATAAGTAATTAAAGACCGTATGTGTCCGTTTGTCATTTTGATTCTAGGGCAAACAAACTTTTTTACAATATAAATTAAATTAAATCCGTATGTATATGATACAGTAATATCTCAAATTATATTTATATGAAAAT